GCGTCCATCTGCTAAGGCTAAATGGGGTTCAAGGAGACAGAAGCAGAGATACAAAAAGCAGCTGTAAAAGGCGGCCCCGTCCAGGAAACACACAGCCAGGCAGACAAGCTCCAAGCCAACTCCCATGTCAGAGGATGAAGAGAGCACATCCAGCCAGTCACAGTCAGAGAAACAGGACTACACTGAAAAACAAGGCGATATCCAACATCTATAAACAAGGGTTGTGATGGCAGCAGCAATTCAGTCTGATTTTGTCAAAAACGGAAAGAGACTCGGGTGGAAACATCATCCAAGACTACCTTACATACACATCCCAGTTTGAGAGACTGAAGGGTCAGTTGCTAATCAGGTAGTCAATAAAAAGGAGCAACACAGGCTGCAGTACTCACACCATCCATTTTTACTCTGTACACCTGAAATTTCACTACAAGACAGAATTGTGCCCTTTGCAGAAATACTCGGATGACTCTGTGGGCGTTGGGTGCGTTTTTTTTGTACCTCAACAAGAAAATATGTTAAATATATAAGTATTCACTTTATAAAAAGTTAATGTTTTCAAAGTAATTACTTTTAAAAGTGATTATTTTATCTTAAAAAAAAAAATCACTTTCAAAAGATAAAGTACAAATATGAGTGCTGAAACTGGTAGAGCCAGACGTTGGATTACAATGATCGACCATTCTACACTGTAGAATGTTTGATCATTCTGCGGCCCATTGACCAGATTAAGGTTGGTAATCTTACACACATTTTTTTAGGAAACAAAGATGGACAAATTACAACCTTACAGAAAGTCTTGCTGATCCACATTAGGCTTGAGCTCTCTTGTATCTTGATGCGGGAGCCAATATGTTCTATATCATCTGAATATACCAGAACAAGTTTCTTTTTTCCGCTGCTTACAATGAAAGTATAAACGACCCCAGCACTGGTAATCTTTTTATTTCTCCTGCCTTTAATGGATTAAAAATGTTAATGTTTAATTAAAATTTTTATTGATTCATATAGTTGACTATTGCATGCATGCTTTTTCCACATCTGAAACTACCTAGGGAATTTTAAAGAAAGAGATGAAAGTAGGAATTATAATAACAGCTCCTTTGTCCTTCCAGAGGGTAAGATGTGGTAAAATGTGCTTGTGTTGTGATTAAACTGTAGAAATAAATCAAACTTTGAAAGTGTAAACATCCTTTCTGCAGTACATGTTTGGCCAAACCTCAGTCTATGTCTAGTATGGGTTGGAGAGTAGCAAAATGAAGGGTGTAGAGGGGAAGTGGCGGACATGCAGATTGGGCTCATTGTTTTCAAAATGACTGTCTTCTGAGTTAAGAGGCTTGAGGTTTTCTTTGTCTATTTCTAATCCCTCATTTGAATTCCTTTTTCTGCTGATGGTTGTCTCTTTGTTTTCCTTCAGATATTTTTTTATCTAAAGGCATGTTGTTAACTTCTCATTAGAAGTCAAGCCTTGTCTTGCACATAATGGTGTATAATATATACTATCAAATTATGTGGGTATAGAAAATTCATAAACAGAAAAAGGCTTAATGTTGGCTTAAAGTTGCTCCCCTTTTGACTATTTAAATATATTATTAAAAAACATTCCTATGAGTAGTTTTACCATGCCGTAAAATTGTTCTCCAACTTGAGAAAAGTTCTGTGGTTTTACTAGGCATATCTCAGTTGGATACATCTTACCTTATTTATATTAACTCATTCTTTATTTTATCCATTTGACTCAACTTTTCACATAACTTCAAGATATTTGTTTGTCCTATTGTATGATATTGGGGAAATTGAGTCAGCTGTTATGATTACACAAGTACTGTGTTATTCTTATTGGGAAATTATTTTACTCTCAATTACTCCACCAAACTTTAATTATTACAGTCATGGAATTATTATCCGTATTAGTCCAACATTGTTTTTTGTTCAAAATGTATAATACCCCAAAGAATACAATAAAAACAAGGAAATAGAAAACAATAGCGATCAAATATTTTTTCTATGACTGTGACTTAGCACTAAAGCTAAAACATACATGTTGGAGCCTGTCTTGTTCAGTGGAAATAACATAAAGTAAACACATATAAAGTAGTTTAAGGGAAAGTAGATGACTGTAAGTGGTATGGTATGTAAGTAGGCTCTTACATTGGAGACGTCTTGACGTAACTGGCATTTTTCGTCTTTGGACATTCCACTGTCACGCACTGGAAACCCCCAAAGGTGTTAACGCACAGTTGGTCAGCTGTACAGTTGTGTGAATGGTTTTCACATTCATCAATATCTGAAAGTGAGAGCCCAGAGAAGAGACAGACAGCCATGTTTTTCAGTCATAAAATCACTGATTCCCAGGCAGGACACTTAGTCCCAACGTTCTATTTGTTTCAGACCCAACTCCAGTCCTTGAGGGCCGCTATTTTTCAACTTTTTGATGCATCTGTTCTCTGACACACCAGAATCGAGTAGTGGCCACTGACTGAGCCTTTGCAGAGCTGAACAACATGCAGATGTTTTGACTGCTGTGTGTTAGATAGCTTCTATAAGTTGCAGTATAGTAATTCTCAAGGAGTTGCAATTTATACCCCTAATAAGCTGGTGAAGATTCTAAGTGATCTAGGTCATAGTCATTCCAAAAAAAGCTCGAAAAGAAACCACTGGACTTTGTTTTCCAAGTTTAAAGACATTTTACTTCCCATCCAGAAAGCTTTCTCAATCCAGATTGTCTGGAGTAGCGGTGAGTTCCAGGCTTTATAGAGTAGCCCAGCAAAAGCCTTGTTATGGCTTAGCATGTTTTCTAAAACAAAGTCCAATGGTTTGTTATGAACTTTTTTTTTGTATACTCCTAATCAAGGGCCGAATTCCCCTTAGGTGATCCCACCTTCAATAACCCCTTAACGTTTGACATTGGGTTTAGCTTCCAACATGCAAGATCGTGTACCACAAAGACAAATATATGATTGTTCTGCCAGCATATTTTATGTCTATGAAGTCTTACCTGTGCAGCTGCGCCCATCTCTGGCCAAGCTGTAGCCGCTAGGGCAAACACAGTGAAAACTTCCAGGTGTGTTTATGCACTGATGAATGCAGAGACGACCAGGTTGTGCGAGGGGAAAGAGATGACACTCATCGATATCTGAAACACAAAGATGGATAGCAGCCTGTATAAGGACATTCATCAGAGTATGAGATTGATTCCATTTGAGGGATTTTCATGGAGAAAATCTACCTGTGCAGATGTTATTGTCGCGGCCTGATATGGTGAAACCAACATCACAGGTACAGTGAGTTGAGCCCAGGAAATGTGTGCAATTAGAAGGTCTTATAGAGGAAGAGGGAGAGGAGGATGTTGGGGAGGAGGCCAGAAAAGGGGAGGATGTCGAAGAGGAGGCAGATAAGGCAGCAGAGGTAGCAAAGGAGGACACGGCTGAAGAGAAGGAAGCCAGGGAGTTGGTGGTTCTGTTGAGTTCTAGAAGAGATAAATGGAAGAAAACTAACACAAAACTGATCCAGTCTATAAGTTTTCCTTTCATCTTGTGTGTGTGACTTACCTCTGCACATAGGCTGTTGGCCACTCCACTTCAGAGTCTCTAGACACACTCGAGTTCGGGGGCCTATCAGCTCATAACCGGGTCTGCATAGGAAGTGGACCTCATGTCCCACACCGAACACTCTGCCCAGCCTACGGCCGTTTGATGGGGGGTCAGGCTTAGGACAAGATGCTTAAAACAAACAGGTTGAAATTGGTTTACATAAGCTTGGACAACAATGTATATGTTCTATTTTCTCCATATAAACCTGCTGCCAAGGTTAACTTTTTTTTATACCATTGATAGATCAATTGAAATTGCTGCTATGTAGCATCACTCTATTATTCACAAAGACTTCTTATTCATACATCTTTTGAATAGGTGCTCCTTGTGAACAGCAAGGCGCAAAAAATGCCAAAGCCACAAATGTTAAAGGGTGCCTGCCTGCTGTCAATGTGTCTTATGTAAACCATTGAAAGTGGGTTTGTCAAAAAAAAAGAGTGGTTATCCAAATCAAATCCATAAAAAATAAAATAAAAAAACACACACAGAAAGAAGGTGACTGTATTTCAGACCAGGATAAGAAATATAGATAATGCAGAAGATGATTTAGTTCAGAGGGTAGTTTAACTGCTTGGTAAGAGGCTGCACGTTGATGAGGAAATATTCCCTTATTTGTGAAATGTGAAAAAGCTGAAAGCTATACAAAAAAAAAAATCAGAAGTTGTACTCTGTAAAAAATCAAAATCTTGATAAATAATTTTTTTCTCAAAATAAGTGTATTTGTTCTTGGATTGTGGAGGTAAAAGAGACACTTTGCCAACGGAACAAGACAATTTTTATTTAAGATAAGAAACAATTGCATTGTCTTATTTCAAATGCATTTTATCTAATTATCTTATTTTAAGAGTAAAAATACTAATTCCATTGGCAAACTATTTCCTTTACCTATTCAAATTAAGGTTAAATACACTTAATTTAGGAAGTTGTGACTTATTTCTAGATTGTTTTTGCAATGTACTTGAGAAAATACATATTAGAAAAGACAAAAAAAAAAAAGTTTTTTTTCATAGCGACACAGTTTCATTTGATTGCACTGATTATTTGTTAGAGCCAAATTAAATAACCAAAAAAGGTTCAACCTCCCTACTCTGGAATAGCCTGATCAGTCTTGAATCATAATAAAAATGTACAAACTGGTGGAGGAAAAATTTTTTTTTTTTACATCGCCTAGGTGATTTGTGTTAAAGAAATCAACAAATAATGCCAATGGTCCCTTGCTCCTCTGCAGCAGGAAGCATCTCCCCTCACCATTTTTACCCATTTTAAAGATGGCCATGGTGCTGTTGTGCAGCGCACTAATCTTCTTCCTCAGGGAACGTACACCTTGCTGGTATGATGTCTCATGTACGGCTAACATCTTCTCTACTTGGCGCAGTGAGTTCAGCAGATCATGAGTGGATGGACACTCCTATAGCAAGATAAAAACACTTCAGATCAGAAATTATACAGCTCTTTCGCTAATAAGCAAAATAGCTACAGGAAAACCATTGTCATTCATTTCTATCTATTCTAAATGGCATGTACTTCACACAGCATTCAGGCATTCACACACACACTGATGGTGGTAACCCAACAGAGATGGGAAATGTGGAATCATTAAGTCATCTCAATACCCTGTATTTGTTCTGCCCGGCCAGCACAATTTAGATGTTTTGTAGGTTTTATAAATATAATAACCAATTCACTGAATCTTAAATCTTTTTTAATGATACTGCCACCTGTGGCCAAAACGCAGAACGGCAGCGCTCTTCTGCTCGTTCTTTTAGTGCACACTCTAACTTCATCCATCAGTTTTCAGACACGCTTAATCCCAAGTGGGGTTGTGAGAGGTGCTGGTGCCTATCTCCAGCTGTCTACAGGCGAGAGGTGGGGTACACCCTGGACAGGTTGCCAGTCCATCGCAGGGCAATACAGAGACAAACAGGACAAACAGCCATTCACGCACACACTCACACCTAAGGAGACTTTAGAGAAGCCTATTACCTTAACAGTTATGTTTTTGGACTGTGTGAGGAAACTGGAGTACCCTGATAAAACCCACACATGCTCAGGGAGAACATGCAAAGACCCCGGCCCGGGGTCTTACATGGAGTTGCCATTGGTGTCTGGGTTGAGCTGGATGCCAATAGCTCCCGAGGATCTGCAAAATGCATCTTATATATAATGCTTCAATTGTCTGCTAGATTGAACCTATTTTGCGTGAATGCTCTTGATTTCCACATCTGTTTCACACATTTGTGTGACGATTTTTTCTATAATGTTATTGCTGTTGTAACACCAGAATTCCCCCATTGTGGGGCAAAAAAGGGATCTTCTATTCTATTCTATTCTATTCTATTCTATTCTATTCTATTCTATTCTATTCTATTCTATTCTATTCTATTNCTATTCTATTCTATTCTATTCTATTCTATTCTATTCTATTCTATTCTATTATATTATATTATATTATATTATATTATATTATATTATATTATATTCTGTTCTGTTCTGTTCTGTTCTGTTCTGTTCTATTCTATTCTATTCTATTTTATTCTATTCTATTCTATTCTCCTCTATTCTATTCTATTCTATTCTATTTTATTCTATTCTATTCTATTCTATTCTATTCTATTCTGTTCTGTTCTGTTCTATTCTATTCTATTCTATTCTATTCTATTCTATTCTATTCTATTCTATTCTATTCTATTCTATTCTATTCTATCTGCAGACAGCTGAGGAACTTCCTAACCAAAACAAATTCAGGGAAAATCGGCTACAGGCTTTGATAGATGCATCGGCTCTGAAATACTAAGGTGTCAGTCAGCTCATCAAACACTGTCGTAAAGGGTCAAATGAAAATTTTATTGTAAAGATTTTTTTTCATGAAAAACTTATGAAAATTCTTTAAAGTAGATTTTTAAAGTTTTGAAAAAGTCCATCTTTACTCAAGCACCCCTTTTTCTAAAACATCAAATCTTAATCAAGAATATCATATTTCAAGTTCTAAAAACATACATATACAGGAAAAAAAAAAGTGTCTCAGACTGCTGGTCTTCATCTCCAACATGATTTATGTATGAGGTTGTTACATAAAGGTGGGGTTTTCCGGGCTGCAGTAACACCTGGGTGTAAATTTTAGCAGACCTCATCCTGACAGCTGAAACACAGCTGCTCTGCTATGAACTTCTGGGTCTGATGTTTTCCTGAAATGTATCTCTGCTCTGGTTCGGCCACTTAGAATTATTAAGAAAAAAGCCATGCTGTGATTGATAGTCTTTTATTTCTAATTATTTCCTGCTACGTTCAGGTTAACTTAGTTAAATGTGAATAAGAATGAAGCTTGTCAATATGAACATGTTTTACTCTTGGTTCATGTTATATTGTGTAGGTAAAAATGTTGTCATAAAATATTCTGATCCCAAAATGATTTCCATTGCACTGTTCTTATAATACTAGACCTGTCCAAGAACTTTACAATAGAGACCAATTCCCAATCACACTCAGATTCATACACTGATGCACACATCTCTTTATAGATATATGAAGCCAGAATCGAACGCTTAGTTTACAACTTTACTTCTCTCTCCACTGATCCACAATTTGTGTCCTTGATAGAAAGAGAAATGCCAGACCTTTGTCAAAAAAACAACAATTTGCTATTTGCAAACATTTTTGAAAAAAAAAAAAGGAAAAGAAAACATCAGAACGCATGAATCAATTTGGCTTCAGTTCAATTTATGCAGAAATAGGAATGAATTCTTTTTGCAAAAGGTTTTAGCATGTAAGTGACCATAAGGGCATTTTGTTAATTTTGCCTCCTATAAGTTTTAACATGGTTAAATATCTCTCAAGAAGATTAAATATAAATTCAAAAATGAAGATGTCTGTTTGAAAGTCTTAGTTACTTACCTGAGTGGAAACTAGCGCAAACTGATGAAGAGTCATCATTAACACAATAACCCTAATAGCTTTCATATTTAGCATAAATTCCATTATAATCATAAACCAGGTTCTGATAAACTCAGTGAGAGGAAGATCAGCTTGTATGTCCAGCTCCTACTGGGCTTCTCCCAAACTTCCAATCTTTGTTCTAGCTATAATGTCAAATATCTCCTCCCTGGACTGAAAACCCTCCTCTACATCCACCCACCTCGCTGTCACACATTTTAAAGCTGATAGAAGAAAAAGGACAGAGGCGCCCACATCTGGAACATGTTTGGCTACTGTTTCAGATCCATTATTGTCCCAACATTTAGACTCCTAAATTAGAAGGAAAAGTCAGCTGCTTGTAGTGCTCTTTAACTATTGCCATCCAGACAAAGCAATTAGATTTAGCTGACTATTTCAGTTTCCTTTTCCAGCTCAGGAATTTGTGTGGCACTCTAATCACAGCAGCTATAAAGCTTTGCTTTGATTCTCAAATCTGCTGCCCAGTAATGTAACTATATATAGTAATAGCCTCCTAATGACAGGCCAGAAACTGTAAAGTCTCAGGCAGAGGTTACTCCCCCTGCAACCCAACTCAATCCCCCAATGGGTGCAATTTATGCTGATGTTAGGATGCAGTCCCAGAAATGTAGATCAACAGATCTATTACAGACAAAAATACATTGCTATTGAGAAATCCAACAATATCCACAGAAGGCTGAAGTAAAGAGCACTGACTAAGCGGCACAAAAGAACAGAAACCAACTACTAAAGAAATGCAGGCCCTGAAACACTGCTGCATGCACCGAAATATCATAAAGGATAAAAGTGTTTTCAATTCTTTCACATTTACCGGACATGCAAAAGAATTGAAATTAAGTGCAAATTTCTGTCAGTCTACATGGTGCTCACAAGACATTTCTTACATTTAGTTAATCAAGACAAAAACAGACAGATATTGAACATTCACACATGGTAATAGTAACAGAGTAAAAACACAGTGTATCCATTGCCAGTGCAAAGATAGGCACATACTGGCATTGAGGTATTCTTTGTATAACTATTGTGCAAGTGGCATAGTAGTAGATATGTGGTACACAGTGTAGCAGCATGATAATAGTGCAAGTAGTCTTTTTTTATTGGGGTCATCTAATAGGCTGTAGCAGCATCAGTGTGGCTAAAACAGGACACAGAAAATCTGTGCTGCAACAAACAGAAAAAGTATGAAAGGGATGTTAGAGGAACACACAGCTAGGGGAAGGAGAGACTTACCCCTCACAAAAAACAAAACACAAAGCAGAAGGCAGAAAATTGGTTTTGTGCTTCTAAGAATTTTTTTTTAGAAATAAACAAGTTGGTAAAAATAATCTTAATCTATGTGATGTTATTTATATATAATTTCATTAATTTATTCATCAGATGTCAATATCAGAAGGCCCTTACAACTTCAACCCCAACACTGCTGCAACTGCCAAAAAAACACAAGAAACGCAAGAACGGACAAAATCAACGGATGTTGTTCTCGTCCCACCCTCTTTATCAAGCACGCATTAAAACAGACTTGTGTGTTCTTTAGACTGACTGCTGTCCCAGCATGCACCCACTGGAGCAGCTGAGTTCCTGGAGAGTGCTCACAGAGATCAGAGTTTTAAATTAAATATTCACTTTTCTGCTGCCCTTGCCCTGCAAAAGCATGATTGGTAGAAGTAAGCACTTTATACTTTTACAAAAATGAGCAGAGATACAAAAGCCAACTGTCAACCAGCTCTGCAGGCGTCTCCGTCCAGGAAACACACAGACAGGCAGACTAGCTCTGAGACAGCTCCCATGTCAGAGGATGAAAGAGAGCACATCTAGTTAGTCACAGTAAGAGAGAAACAGGACTACAATGAAAAACAGACCAAGCTCCAACATTTATAAATAAAGGTGTTGATGGCAGCAGCACAGCTGATATTTCTCTCCAGGATGGTGTCACAGCCAAATAACACAGAACAGATGAAGCTACTATGATTATGAAAAAAAATAGAGAGAGCACAAAGCTTGATGTTGGAATAATAAATACTGCTGAGTGGGAGACTAGAGATAGAATGACGCAGAGTGATGAAAAGGGGTCCCTATGTCTTTTAGCAGTCTAAGCCTATAGCAGCATAACTATAGAGAAAGCTCAGGATAATCTGAGCCACTCTAACTACAAGTTTTATCAAAGAGGAACGTTTTAAGCCTACCCTTAAAAATAGACAGGGTGTCTGCCTCATGTACTAAAACTGGTAGTTGGTTCCACAGGAGAGGAGCCTGATAACTAAAAGATCTGCCTCCGATTCTTTTAGAAATTCCTTATCTGCTCTTTTCATGACAGTCTGAACGATCCATTTTTTTCCAGTGCAACCCAGGTCACTTGGCTATGTGGTCCTGAATCTGATACGTATACCTGATCTTTTCTAATGCAGTCTGTCTCTGAACATCTATGTCCCATTTATCCGACCCCTTAGCCATTAATACTCAACCAAGGTCACTATTTTGTGACTTCCAACGCAGAAGCGGAAAGAAAAAAAAAAACCATGGGGAAAGATAATGCAGAGAGCAGTCATTATTCTTAACCTTCTTGAAAGGATTGCACTGTTAATGCACTGGCTGAGGTTGGGAAAGAGATGAAAGATCGAAAGATGCACTCCAGCTCGCTTGTGATGTCATACCTCTACTGTGCATGCGGGACACTTAATTTGTGCGAATGCAGTTCACACAGGAGATCACATACAAGTTGCATATATTTGGAAATGTCAACAACCACGCAAAGAATTGGATGAGGTTGTGGAGTTTAGATCTATTTTAGTTGGACTATGCAGCAATTTCATGGGTCTGACAGGAAGAGAGACACAGTTACAATGTAAAACACGTCCGCTTTGTGGAAAATTACAAAATAAAATCTATTAATCTCACAGGGAAAGAGTCAAATTTTTGAGTCGCACATCATGTATACAGTAAGCAGAAGTAGTGATCCTGTTTGAGCCTCACAGAAACAGCAAGGGACAGAAATAGCAGTTTATCAATCTCTTCGAAAAAAGAAAAAAACTTTAGGGAGAGAAAAAAATGGATATAGTAATATAGTGATCCTCTTTGACTCACACTAAAAACAAAATAATGAGGGGCAGATAGAGCAGGTTTGCACGGTGTATTTATCTCACCTCTTTATGAAAAAAAAACAGAAAAACTTAGATCAACTTTACAGATCTATCTCTGATAATCACCTCTCACTGCCTCAGTCAGCATATAATGCGCCGCACAGAGTTTATTGCTGTGTTTTTCTTTAGACATAGATCTCATCATGTTTTTAATATGGGCATAGGAACATTCTCTATCTGTTCTGGTTTGAGATGCTGCAGAGACTCGTTAAGTAAGGCTTTCCTTTATAGGATGCCCCATTAGTTTTTAATTTTTTCATATAATCTGTCCAAGTTAAATGTGGGAAATTGTTTTAATTTGTATAACACAGAGACAGAAGTAAAAAAAAAAATCTGTGCATATCTGCCCACCCTGCCTAGTCGGGGCTTCTCTGTACACAGTCAGTGTGACATGGAAAAAAAATGGATCGGGAATTAAAAATCCGTACACAACTGGTGGCCTTAACAGCAAAACCTTGTGTCGGTGCGCGTATAGTTTCAAGAGAATCACATGACCGATACTAGTGTTGTGCCGATAACATTTTTGCCCCCAATACTGATACCTGATACCTGGCTGTGCAGTATTGGCTGATACTATCTGTTTAAAATTGATGGTGTGTGTGTATATATATATATATATATATATATATATATATATATATATATATAT